TGTCCCGAGCCTTTGATGGCACATATACTTTCGCCTCACTGAGTAAGTTGATAAAGCCAGGATTCTCAAGATGAATGGGAGCCTAACTTGAGGCCATAGATCCAGAGTAATTTTCATGACCCACGTCTATAATGAAACATGCCTACTGTTAGCTAATTAGCTCTAGTCAGTTTCGCATCTATCGCGCTTCTATTCATAATGTCAAGTCTATGATGTCCTATTCTCTAGTCTCTTATATCTCAGCCCACAAATGTAGTGTTTCTACACGTTATGATTATGCCTATTTGGTTTCTGATTGTTCCTTTCTGATCTCTTTGAGATTTCCTTTTCTAAATTAAATACGTTACCTTGATCTAGTGGTTTTATTTTTGCAGGTCTTATTATCGCCTAACCCTATCCAAGTTTGATTATGTAATATGCAAAGCTTTTGCTGATCCTGCCTTCTTCAAGTCTCCTGTTCATTTGATTTATTTTAGTCAGTATATCGATGCCCTTTCGAATCTTGCGTTTTCCCGTTTATTCATCACATGCAGCCAGCCTTTCTGTCGATTTACAGTGGATTTCGTGTCCCGTCCGTACAATGTGCTCCTCTATTTCGGAATTTTCCATATACATGTTTTTACGGAATCTTTGATGTTCCTTGATTCGTGGGCCGATTTTTCGTCCTTTTTCTGAAGTATACTTCTGCTCACTATTGCGGCACTTAATGAGATAACCTCTCGAGCAATCCAGTTTGCCACTCTTTACGTGTTGCGTCGGCAGCCTAGTGAAATGTGTTGTCTTCACTTTTATTATCACCCTAATATTCCATTTTTTTAGTAACGCTCGTAATTTTTGGCTCAGTTTACAGGAGGGCAACCAAATCCATTTTTGGTTGTCGTCCTGATTCCTGATTTTATTTTCATAAAATCCGAGTTAAAATCTGCTTTTTATAACAGCTACATTTCTTTCCATACATTTTCTAGGGAATCCGTTACTAAGCCAAAATCCGAGTCGCTCTTCCAACTCCTTTTCCCAGATCTCAGTCCTCGTTATGCTTAAACTTCTGATGATCAAGCTCCTCAGTATTTTGATCTTCAT